CGCAGGGCGCCGAGGGCAGCAGTGCTGGCCTCTCTGGGTCCCTGACCTGGGCTAGGTGAGGTGGACATGAGTGTACGTAAGGCCGCTGGGTGGGGAGGGGTGGGCACGGCTGGGCTCGAGCTTTGGCTGGGTTAACGTGTGCGATTATTCCACGGACACACTGTGCTTCCTGCTATGTCCAAGTAGGATTGCGTTGCAGTTAACTACAGGTATAGGGCCCAAAGGTTTCTGCTGTGTCACCAAGAGTGCGTCCCGTGTTTCCGGGGTAGGAGAAGGAGCCCATGAGCTGCCTCCGTCAGGCTCCCATCCCTGGGAAGGGGATAGGAGGAACTCGACCCCTTGCCCAGCACCCTCCTGGGTCGCTTCCCAGCTGCTCACAGATCTCACTCAGTTCCTGGAGGAGGGAAGCCCCCCCCCCGCATGTCTCCCAGCCTCAACTTCCTTCCCCCTCGCTCTCTCCTCTTCACTCTGCTCACAGAGTGTACGCCCAGGCCGGGCTTGCATGCTGCCCTGTGTGACATGGGTGGCTACTGTCCACACCTCTGCTAATGACCTCTCCCATCTTTCCTAGAAAAGAATGTGTATTCACCATTGACCCATTGACTGCCCGGGACCTCGATGACGCCCTCTCCTGCCGGCCGCTCGCTGACGGTAGGTGAACCTTTCTGTGTCTCCAGGCAGTGTGACGTGCAGGGTGGGTTCATCCTGTTCCTCAGTTCGTGGTGGCCTCTGCTCCTGCACAGCTGTGTGAACTTGAGGTCATGTTCCTGTGGCGACTTTGGCTGTCTGCTCAGTGCAACTTCTGTTGGGCTGTGGAAGAGGCTGAGGTGAGGACAGAGGTGCTCCTCCCAGGCTTTGGCCCTTCAGGTGGAAGGAACGACGGAGGTGGAAATGCAGAAGTCCCGAGGCTTCGCGCGGCCAGTTCTCCTGCAAGACTGGCTCGACCCTGGCCAGCAGGAGGTGCCTGTTCCGGCTCCCAGCAGTGCTTGTCCCAGCACATTGCGAAAGGCAGGCTCTGTGGCTCTTCAGCTGTGCTTTTGGGTCATTACTAGGTAGAAAAAAGCAAAATTGAGGCCAGTGGTATTGGACAATTGTAGGAGGAAGAAGGGGGAGCAGTGGCCTGACTCTCAAAAGAAAAGTGTGAGTGTGGTTTCAAGGCCTGTAATCCCAGACCCTCGGAAGCTGAGGCAGGAGGCTTGCAAGTTGGAGCCCAGCCTGGGTAATTTAGCAAGACCTTTTCTAAAAATACGAAATATTACTTAGCAGGGAATGAGTCAGAGAAACATTGGACTCATTAGGCCCAGGGACCTAGCCTGGAGAGGTGGGAAGGGTCCACAGCGGAGGGTGTAGAGGTGTGAGAGAGCGATGTTGGAGCAGAGGGAGAGAAGCCTGAGATGCTGCCAGGTTTCAGCCTGGAGGGCAGGAGACGGAGCCCAATGGCTTAGAGACCGGGAGGGCAGGTGGCTGCACGGGGAAGAGCGTATGTGTCTGTGATTGTATTTATAAGAGTGCTGCCAGTCTAACAAGGAGGTGGGAAATAAATGAGCTAAATAGATGTGGTCATGTAACTATATGCCAGGGATCTCTGAGGAAGAGCTTGCCAACTGCAAGCAGTGATTATATTCATTCATTCATTTTTTGAGTTTTTTGAGGTAGGTTCTTGCTGTGTAGCTCAGGCTGGTCTTGAACTTGCTTTGTGGCCCAGACAGGCTGTGAGTGAATGGCAATCCCCCTGCCTCAGCCTTCTGAGTGCTAGGATTATTCCAGCAGTGATTTTATTAGGAAGATGGGATTGTAAATGATTTTTCCTCTGTGTTCAAAATTTTTATAATGTAGCAGTAATAGCTTTATAATGAAAAAAATTTGTAATAAAAAAATTATGAGGTGCCACAAATCATGGGCTGCCCAGTAGCCCACAGCACCAGGTGACCAGACACCTTCCATCTGCTCGGTTTTTCCTTCATTCTCGAGGGGCAGCTGACATCTGTTCTCTTGGTAGGGCTGAAGCCAAAGGACAGGGGAAGAGAGCCAGGGCAGACTCAGAAAAGGGCCGAGGTGGTTGGTCAAGCGTTTTTATGGTGGCACTTCTACAGTTGGCCTTGGTGACAGAAGTTTCTGCCAGGGCCATTTATCCAGGCAGATGAAAAGTGAAAAAGCAATTCCACTTTGGACTGGGGTGAGGCTGGCTAAGCTCAAGTTCGGTTAGTTACCAGTTTGTGTCAATTCTTGCTTAGGGGAAAAAATGTTTAATGTTTCAAAGGCAAATGGTGTTTTCTGGGCATACCTACATCTGTAGCCGTTTATTCAGAAAATGCTGTGTAAAATTATACCTCGGTCCCTTTGAAGTCACCCGAACGACTATGACAGATAAACTCCCCTGACTGACAGAGCACACCTCATCCTCTCACCCCCTTTCTGTAGAGACCCTGTGCTCCCAGGTCTTCGCCGTTGCCCCTGTCAGGTGCGAGGTGTGGACCATCAAGTCTGTGAGACGCAGTGACCGGCTGCTCACCAGTCCATCAGAGTTGGCGGTGAGGGCTGTCCCGGCTGCTCGGCTTGGGAAGCCATTCCCCCAGTCACCTGACCCGATGCTCCCTGAACACACTGGACAGGAGGGAGTCTCTCCGGGGAGTCTTTCCATTTTGCTCAGGAAAATGTTTAGTAACAAGGATGGTGTTAGAGTAAGGAGATGGTGGCAGCACCCACATCTCAGCTTCCCAGTCCCTCCCTACAAGGCAGAGCTGCCCGTTCTATTCAGGTGAACAAACACGACTGCTTAGCCCTAGCCTCAAAGCAGAAGTTGTCAGCCAGACCAGTCCCGACCTTCCTTCCGCTTTTAGTTGACGCAGACTCCCAGCAGCCCTGTGGAAACTGGAGTCCACATCTACAGTGCCTCGCTTCTCTCTTCCTCTCTCTCGTGTGTGGGCTGCTACGGAACACGTCAAGGCTTTGCTAGTCGGGACTTAAGGATGGATGAAAGGGGCGGGAGAGTAGCTGCTCGCAGGTTTGGTTTCTGCGTGGGGTAAAGAAAGTATTCTGAATTAACAGTTGATAGCTGCACAATCTTGTGAATATACTAAATGCTCCGGAAGGGGAATGAATGGTTGGGTGGGTGGTTGAATGAACGATGAGTGAACAGGGAGAAATAAACAAAGCCAAACCCACTGATCCACAAGGCCTCCTGGCAATTGGAATTTACACCTTGTGCACAGTGTAGCAGGAGTCTTGATGAATGCCTGAGTGGACACCCACAGTCACATCCCTCTGTCTTTCCTCTTGGCTGCTTTCATCTCTGATCCATGAGATCCTAGCCAAGGGGGCGTAGCCTCTGCCCAGCACCTGCCCGCACCCTGTCCTCACCATCCTTTCCTGGGTAGAAGACAGTGCCCACCTGAGGGCCTCAGGAGTTGGTTCATACTCTGCTCACATGGCCACCAGTTTCCCCTATGGGCCACCCTGTCACCTCCCCAGCTGCCGGGCTTTCCTTCCTTGAGTGGCTGACAGGAAGCTCTGTGCTGGGGGCCAGCAACAGCAAGGGAATCGGGCCAGGGTCTCACAGCTTTGCCCTCGAGGGTTTCCTAGACTCTGTGGCTCTGTAGCTTCCCCTTGGAGGGTGAACTCCACCTGCCGAGAGGATCTTGCCATGGCGGATCACCTTTGGAGGAGGGAGGAAGTGGGACCTGGAGGGACCTTAATCCCCGTGTGCCAGTGGACGCGTAGAATGGCTGTTTTACAGAGGAAGGGGCAGAGCTGGAATCTCCAACCTGCTAAAGGGCAGGAAGGAGAGCGTGAGGTCCTAGAGCTTCTCCCCAAGAGTGCTGGACACAGCCCCGGGACCAGGACAGACTTCCTGCGGGGCTCTGCTCTCCCCTCCAGGAAGGCCACTCCCATGCCAGTCACCCCAGTGCTTGGCTTTTCCTGTGCCCTGCTTCCTGCTCTCAGTGTGCAGATGTGTGTCCTTTGTTCCCCAGCCCTGCCATGCTCAGGACCTGTACTTTGCTCCCTGAGATCCCTGAGAGAAGAGTCAGAAAGCCCTGTGTGCCTGGCGGCCCTCACCTTAGGCCCCCAACATCAGTGCAGCCTTTGGTTCTCATGTGTTCCTCCTCCTTGATTTCCCTCTTCTTCTGATGCCAAGGGCCCTGCTTGCTCCTGGATCCTCCCTGTGTTCTGCGTCTCTCCAGAACTCTTCCTTCCTGTCCTTCCTGTGGTAGCCCGTTTCCTGCTCTGCCCTTTACTCTCTTCTCCCTCAGCCTGGAGGCAGCTGGTCTCTTGCTATATGGTTTGCTTGGTGGCTTTCTAGGCGATTCTCCCAGCCATTCTACCTCGAACCCCACCCACCCCTGCCGTTATAGGAAGGGACATCGTTCTGTGCACTCTTGGACCCTCTGTGCTCAGAGCTCTGGGTGTCACATAGGTGACTGGCCCAGCGAAATGCATTAATTCCTAAAATTTGGATATTGGGAGGCAGAGAAGAATGTAAAATGACCCGTAGGTTTCTGGCCTGGACACTGCTGGAAAGTAATGCCATGCAAGAGGAAACATTGGTTTGGTGGGAAAGACAGCAGCTCAGCTAAGGGCATGTCGACTTTGCAATGCCTGAGAGCCATTCGGGAAGAAGTAAGAAGGGGACAAGTGAAGGTCGGCGCCGGCTGCGGGGATCATGAGTCACTGGTGAGGCCTGGGAGAGAGGTGAGGGAGAAGGCAGACTCCGAGGAAGCCTGGCCAGAGACTGGAGAGCTGCCCCACGGTGGAGATGGGAGGAGGGCTGGAGGTCAGCCTGGGGCGCAGGAGAGCACAGAGGGCCCGTGCCAGCAGCCCCAGGCACATCATGGCAGAGAGCCCTGGCCCTGGCAGCTGGGATGTCACCTAAGGCTGCAGTGGACCAGGCGGCAAGTGTCGGGTGAGGGGACCACGTCAGGGAGTTGAAGCCATGAGTGCAGGCTCCGTTCCCAGGAGGCTATGGAAGTAGGAGAGGCAAGGAGCACAGGGCAAAGGTGGATATTTTCTTGAAGATACAAGAGATTTGACACATTTCTTTCTTAAGAGATAGGAAATGACAGAGAAAATATAGGAGAGAAGTTGGTTGTTTTGCAAGTTGGCCTCGAAGGTGAGGGGTGAATCTAGATCCTAAGTGGAGAGAGGACAAATGTATGATCCTTTAGGATACAGTTGCAAGACACAAGGAGTGGGCCACCGTCCCATGTGCTCACGCGGACTGTCTGCTTCTCAGTGACGAGGAAGCTGAGCTGCTGCTGAGGGGCTGGTGAGACAGGGAGGGGATGGAGGGGTGGCCAGGACCTGCTAAAGGGTAGGAAAGGAGAGCGTGAGGTCCTGGAGCTTCTCCCCAAGAGTGCTGGGCACAGCCCCGGGACCAGGACAGACTTCCTGCGGGGCTCTGCTCTCCCCTCCAGGAAGGCCACTCCCATGCCAGTCACCCCAGTGCTTGGCCTTTCCTGTGCCCTGCTTCCTGCTCTCAGTGTGCAGATGTGTGTCTTTTGTTCCGCAGAGCCTGCCTTCCCCAGCTCTGCCATGCTCAGGACCTGTACTTTGCTCCCTGAGATCCCAGAGAGAAGAGTCAGAAAGCCCTGTGTGCCTGGTGGCCCTCACCTTGGGTCCCCAACATCAGTGCAGCCCTGCACACTGCTCAGCCA